GACTGCTGTCTTCTCCTGCCATCCATCATCATCACCACATGTTGGGTGGGAAGGGGAAGCAGTTCACAGAGGAAGGGTCAGGGCAGTGAAAAAAAACTTTCATACATCTCTATTCTCTCTTCAGAAAGCAGCTTAAATCAGGTCTGTGTTGGGCAGTGGGTGCAGTGCTGGAACACAGAAATGACAGCAGGAGACCCCTCCCCTCAGGAAAGAGAGGTTAATTTGTCAAGCCATGTAAAGCATTTTAATTACAATTCATATAACATGTATAAATAAATATTACATTCTTTCAGTCTACAATGCATACTAGGCATATCTTGTTAAAACGTCCATCTATGTTACTGGGTGGCAGGATTGATTTTGTCCAAGTAAAAAAAAAATAAAACAGAAAACCAAACTACTGAGTTTAGTAATTAAAAAAAAAAAAACAAAACAACGAAATACATGGTAAAGACAGGACAATGCAAGTGCTTCTGGCTAACAGTCAGGACATAATACTGCTTTCCAAAGGCTGGGTATACCATCTTCCTTTTAGTTAGGAGAGGTTTTGGATGACTGTGGTTTCCTCATTGTATAGATTTTGATCTGTGTCCTCCAATAATGGGAACTGGCACTGAGTCAACACAGTTCTGCCAGCTGACACCACGAATTAAAACTCTCTTTTGTATTTGCTTCCGATTTTTTTACTGGGTCAGTATTTGTTTATTCAAAACATCAGCTTTACAATCTAGTCTAAGACTTTCAGTCCAGTGGCAAAAAGAAAACAAAAAAATCTAAAAAATAGCTCCAGGTATTTCTTGATCTTGCTTCAGCAATATTCCCCACCCTCCCACCCTCCCTCCCTCCCAACAGTCTGTCCAGAGGCCAGCTCTCCCAGTACAAGGAAATAAAAGTTTGGGTGCAATCAGTGTCTTTCTGTCCACTCTTCTACTGGCTTTCAGAGCTTGATGAGAGCTGGTGGCATTAGAATAAACAGAAAATTACAGCACAAACTTATGGATTCATGAACTTGGCAAAGAAAAAAACCCAAAACACCAAAATCCAGGCTGTATATATTTGGCCTGTGATGGTCTCAGTTCCAGGTACATTTAAAATGCACCAGTGGGGCGCTCCCATCCTTGGTACTTCTAAAAGCTAAAAATAAAACAGCACCTTCTTCCCTTGTGAAAACGTAGGAACTTTGGTTGTGGAAACTTAAAATGAGCAACTAAAGGAACAATCCAAACCTGAAAGGAAAATGAGTACTTCTTCCAAACAGAACATCTTTCTAGCTAAGGGTGAAATGGGGGCTTAGGCTTTCAGAAGAGACACCACATGGAAATTATTAGTCAGTACTTATCCCTTGAATTCTTTAAATGACAGGAGACTATTCATAGCTAACTTGGGTGCTCTTGGCCCACTGTGAACTTCAAGAATTTTGAATTTTCCTGTTTTCAAGAGATTTAAAAGAAAAATACAAGAGGGAAAAATATTCTGTTTCAATTTACAAGACAAATAAAAAGTAAAAATAAAAATACCAGGTAATTTCTTCCTCCTTCACATTGGATGCCAAAGATACATCTTCACTTCAAATGAAAGAATAAAAAGAAACGGCTCAAGTAACAATCTAAAGAGTCTCCTTGTGGGTTGTATCCCATAATTGTGATGTTTTACTGGAAATAGAACAAGTTATTGTTTGTCTCTTGCTTATTCTTTTCATGCTCTTACATCCTCTCATTTCTTTTTGCAGATATTTTTTTGGTACTTTGAAACATTCCTATCATTATTATTTGTATGACCCATAAAATGAATTTTCACACCCTCATCTTGCCCAGTTCATCATATTGGTCACACCATTTCCTTGTTCCTTTCTGCTATTTATATCCCACTTCCCAAATCCATGAGTAGCAGAATAACCACTGGAAAAAAAAAAAAAAA